CTCTTTTTTCGTAACTCAGTATTCCTGAGGACTGCAATGCAAAGGATCTTTACATAATATTTAGAGAATATCGAGATCTGAAATAGGTGGTGATACTTGCAAGAAGGGACGAGAGAGTTAAGAAGTATGGTTTTGCAAGGTTATATTGTTGAAATATATGTAGCTAGACTCTTAGTTAGTTAATATATAAGTAGAAGGTTGATTTGGTTGTAACTAACTTGTTCACTTGTAACATTCTCACTGTTTTTAATATACAAAATTATCGAGCTTTATCTCTTATTCTCTGATATCATGATTTCCAATATTCACTATTACAGAAAATCCATCTAACAACGGTTTGGAAACATGTATAATCACGCGAGTCCAGGCATTGTTGTGTAGAGTATGGTTGTATACGCGATACTTACAATCACGATTCAGTGACCATTGTTGTAAAACGTATATCACAACAATTGACTCAAACAATCATTGTAATAATTATAGTGGCACAGGTTCGATACCCAGCTACAATCAAAATTAAAGAGCATAAAAATATCATTTAACCAAAGCTAAACGATCCAACCGTTGTTGAATATATAAGAGTTTATTATAAAATATGAGATTGCTTGTTTTTCCCAACCTCTCATTAACCATATACAACCATTCAAATAGATTTTTGAGACAATAATAAAAAATTAAGTTATTATTGAAAAACAACATAAAATATCCAATATTTTTCGAATTGCAAGCATCCTGTAAATCATAATTTCCTCTTTTAACTTATAGGATTTGGCTCAATCTAAAATTCTTCAAAGTAATGTTGATAAATGAATGTCAGTCTGAGTCTTTCACATAAACTTTGATTTCGTCTTCTTTTCTAATTTATTTTTTAAACATCAAATTTTGTGTGAAAGACCCAGACTGACACCCATTTATCAACTTTGTTTTGAAGAATTTGTGAAATTTAATGAAATTCTATATGCTAAAGAGGGAATTATGATTTACAACATGTATGCAATTCGAAAAAACATTGCATCGTCTAAGTTGATTTTCAAGAAAAACTTAATTTTTTAAATTATTATCTTTAAAATCTTTTTAAATGAGTGCAATTTCAATGAGGGGTTAGTGAAACAAGCAATCTCATATGACATAACAAACTCTCTAACAATTTTTATCAACAAAAACATCAAATTAATTTATATGGATAGTGAAACAAACAATATACATACTATATAATAAACTATACTTCATCTTGACATGTCAACATGTATAAGAATTAAAAGAATAAAACATTGTTAAGTCACAAGAAAACTTTTTCTTACGAGTTAACAATGTATTGTTCTTGTTTTGAGAATATTTGTCAACAAAAATATCAAACGATATCACAAAATATATTAAGTTGTTTATAGAATGCACCTCTTATTAAAAATAAACGTGGAACTACGAAGTTCGTCTAGTTTGTGAAGCAATGAGGAATAAATACAAGGTGTATGAAGTTTCCACTATTACACCATACTTCTTGTATTTTTATCCATTGATACACAAATCATATGTACCTTATCAACTCATACCATACGCTTTCTACCATCATCATCGTCACCATATGAGCTTCAGCTAGTTTGTGAAGCCATGAGAAAGAAGTATAAGATGGATGAAGTTTACACAATAACTTCGTACTTCTTATATTTCTTCTCATAGCTTCTTAAACTATATAAAGTTTGCTTCTGTTGTTGTTTCTTGAGTCCTACAAACACCATGAATATTATCAACATGTGAAATCGCAAGCTTATTTGTCAACAGAGTATGAAAAATATCTTGTTTGTGAAACTATGAATAAGACAAAAATAACATGCAACAAGGTAGTGAAGATGAATCTGAAAAAATGAGAACAATCAACAAAAATAACATGCAACAAACGAGATAATGGCTAATAAGAAGAAGGAAGAAGAATATTTTAACGTATGAAACACAAGATTCACGGCTAATGGCGAAGAAGCAGAGAAAAAAGGGTGCTAGGGTTTCATTCTGAAGGAAACAGTGCTACTGTCAATAAGTGAGAGTTAATTCACTTATATATGGGTAAACTCTTTCACAACGGTTAATACTTCCAATTGTACTGATAAATGTTTATTTATTATAAATATATCACAACTGTTATTCAAAATCATCGTAGCGGTATCCCTGTTATTTGTGATTTTTTAAATAAATAAAAAAGAAAAGTGCGCCTTAACGTTAATAGACTACAATATTTATGACGCTGAGGTTCGAACCCATGAATGTTTGATTATATCACTACGGTTGGTTCTTCACCCATTTTTATATACAAATAATTTTTAATCTAAACAAATTAAATATGACAGTGCCTTAGTTTAGAGATGTCACCACAGTTGAGGGAAGAACCGTGACTATGACATTGTTGTTTATGTGTTTTGTAGTAGTGAATGTTACAATAAACAATGAGGCATTCATAATCAAAGTAGTTGAAGATTTTCAAGGACCATTAAGGATTGATTTTCCTTCATGTATAATAATAAAATGTTTTATCTCACGAATCACACCATATCAAATTTATTTTAATCAAATCTTACTTTTATTTGAGAAACAAATTATACGTTAAATAATTTATTTCTTGAGAAACAACCTTGAAAAACCAATAACTTCCTTATATGTAAAAATTTAAAATGAATAATTTATTTAATACAACATTAAAGGATTTTTATTTTTAATTTAATACTATTCATTTGCATTGCATAAATTTATTTGCTATATTTTATTATGAATTAAATTTTATGAATAAAATAAATAGATTAATCAATTCACAATATAAAAAATACAAACGGATTTTAAGTTATATCGGTAAGATAATCTAATATTTTATATTATATTTTAATTTGAGTTTAGAAACATGCAAATTATGTCTTCATATTTATTAAATTGATTGACTTATTTTTATAAAAAAATATGTGGAATGTGCAAATTATGCCTTCCTGTTTTTATTTCCCTTTTATTATTTTTTTTGTCAATATATTTTTATATATTAATATTATTCTTTCCGTTACAATTTTATATCAAATATCTCACTGCAATCATATAAATTAATTAAACTTTGAATAAATTCTCTCGTTTAATCTTTATATATATTCTTTATCAGATAAAATATATTATTTCTGCTAAATTAGATATATATATATATATATTTCTTCAAATTATATAACATTGCCGACTCTTACTAGTTACTAATAAGTATAAGGATAATAAAAGTAGACAACACATATTTGACAACTAAATTGGATAAACGGTATCCAAAGTAGATAAGAATTTACCAAATAAAATAGTTTTAGATTAAACTGAAGAAATACTTTTAATAAATAAAACTAATTTTTGGAATTTTTCGAAAAGTGAAAATAAAACATATTGCATTTTTTAAGAAATATAAATATAATTTAATGAATGAATTGTCATTTCAACTTTCCAAATCTAAAGGCAATAAGCATGCGTGGGGTTTATCAAGTTTCTTTCTCTCCAAGTCTCTCACAAACGTGTATAGGGTTTTAGAAAAATATTTATGCGAATACTTTTAAAAATAAGCGTGTTATAATGTCTGACACGTATTAGTGTTTAATATTTACATTTTTAAAATATATATTGAAAAAGTTAAATAAATATTTTTAAATAATTTTTTTTTGACACTTTTTAAATTGATATTCAACAAAGTTTCTTTCTCTCCAAGTCTCTCCCAAATATGTATAGAGTTTTAGAAAAATATTTATGCAAATACTTTTGAAAATAAACGTGTTATAATGTCCGACACATATTAACGTCTAACATTTAGATGACATTCATAAAATATATGTTGAAAAAGTTGAATAAATATTTTTAAATAATTTTTTTATTTTGATACTTTTTAAATTGATATTCAACAATTGTTTGACACTATAACATGTGTCAGATGATTTAGTCAAATATTTAAAAAAGAATTAAATTTTTCTTTACTTCAACACATTTAAATGGATTTAACATGTAATAAAATAATATTATTAATGAAAAATTAAAGACTATAATTTTGATTAAAATATTCTTAACTCTTTTTAATAATTAATAGATAAATGAATTTTAACTAATATCATTTTATATATATATATATATATATATATATATATATATATATATATATATATATATATATATATATATATATATATATATATATATATATATATATATATATATATATATATATATATATTGCAGGTGTTTTATATTTTTTGATAAAAGAGTAAAAAATATTATTTTTATTTTTTCATTAATAAAAAATTATGAATGATTGTTTGTAAAATTATAAATAATATTTGTGTTTATTTAAGAATTTTATATATATCTATTATTAGTTAAAATTTAGAATTGACTAAACTTTATATTATCATTAAATTATAAATAAATAAGAATTTAATTAGAATACATAGACAGTGTAAAGAAATTTTACACCATCAATAAATTATGATTATAATTATCAATAAATTATGATTATTAAATTATAAATTATATATTTTATTTTTACTTTAACTATTTTTTAAAGAATAATAATGGATTTTTGTGATGTATTGATCATGTAAAAGTTTTATATTGGTCGTACATAATAATTAATCCCAATAAATAATATTAAGAGTGGTTGAATTGTTTTTTAATTAGATAAACAACTCTAGAACAGTAAAAGCAAATTTATTTTTGTATGAATTTTACTTTCCTTGTCAACGGAGTAAAGTACACAAGTACAGAATAACGCTTATTTTTTCTTTATGTGGGAGATTAAAACTTTAGTAGTAAAGAAGATATGAATAAATCTCCATTAAAGTGGAGGCGTAAAATCTTTTTTTAAAGCATATTTACTTATCTTGTTAATAAGGTAAAGATATGAATCAACATATGAAATCGTAAAGGTTATTCATAACACTAGTGCACCAGCGAGCGAGTAGTTCATTATATTTATATTCACTTTTGCAAGATCATATTTATCATATTACATGATGGCATCCCACACTACTCTTGAAGTGAAATTTTTGAAGCTTCTAGAGGCAAGGCAAATTCCCCAAACCTTACGCCCCAAGATCCAAAAGGTTCCACAGTATCTCCGAAATAAAAATATTTTTGACAAGCATTACTCACCCAAGTCGGTGTCAATAGGTCTAATTCACTATGACAATCAAAATCTCAAGTTAGGAGAGAACTATAAGCTTACTTTGGCAGCAAAATACATCAGAAACACCCATCACACTCCAGAATCTCTACACCAAAAGATTGCCGATCACATTGATGAACTCAAGGGTCTTTTTGCCGAGGATGTTTTAGCTTTAGCCAGTACCGCAGAGTCTCTAAAAGGCTTCCGCAGCCTTGAAGAAAAGTTGTCATGGTTGTTGTTCGTGGATGGATGTTTTTTGCTCTATATTTTGGATGTCAAAGTGAATAGTGTATTTGATGATCAGGAAGATATGAATAATATTAAGTTTGATCAACTTTTTTATCTTGTGATGATGGATGTCCTTTTGTTGGAGAATCAACTTCCTTTTCTAGTACTGAAGCTGTTGTGGAAAAATGACAATCAGAATGAATTAATATATACTATGATGAATTTTCTCACATATTATCATTGGACCATAGGACATAGTCAAATGAAATTACTGAATGTGTCAGAGCAGCCACCAGCTCATCTTCTTGATCTTCAGCGTAAATTGATCCTCCTTTATTCTAAACCCAAGGTAAAAATTTAGTTTTTGTTATTTTAATATGGGACCAATTGTTTCAACTTTAAAATAATTTATTTATTTTGTATTCGAAAATAAATTTTATAAAATTGTTTTTTAAAATATTAAAAGTTTTTTAATTTGTTTTTTCTGAATTGAAAGATTAATTTTAATATTTTATAGCATAAACATTATTATTGAAGATCAAAAAATAATTTAAATCGTAATTTTTTAAAAAAAGTTGTATTTCAAAAATAATTTTTATTAAAAACGATTTAAAATAATTTCAAAGTTAAGCTGATTTTTTAAATTTTGACATCTAAAAAAGGTTTTGGACATTTTAAGAATAATTCAAACCAAATTTTTAATTAAAACTTTTATGAAAAATTTCTTTGAAGATTATTTTTTTTCAAAAAATATTACATTAAGAAAAACTTTTTTAAAAAAAGTCAAAACAAACTGGTCATATATATATATATATATATATATATATATATATATATATATATATATATATATATATATATATATATATATATATATATATATATATCAATTGATAAGTAAAATGATGAAATTCATTTGTTATGTAATCAGACGAAGGAAGAAAGTGTAAGATATTCAAAATCAAAAGAACACATTTGGTTAACAGTCAGGAACATAGAAGATCTAACTGCAGGAGGAGTAAATCTTAAACCAAGCTGGTCAACACGGCCAACTGACATAGAGTTTTCGGAGGGTTGGTTTTCTGCGGAACTGACTCTTCCTGAGATTTATGTGGATGATAAGTCTGCTTCTTCTTTCGTAAACCTAATAGCGTATGAGATGTGTCCAGATTTTAAGAACGACTACGGAATAATTTCATTTGTGGTTTTCATTGACACTCTCATTGACCATGCGAGAGATGTGAAGATATTGAGATCACAAGGTATTTTGGTGAATGCACTTGGGAGAGATGAGGATGTTGCTGATTTTTTCAGCATCATAAGTACTGATTTGATATTTAACCCAGACACATATGTCGAAGTTATAGCTAAAATACACTACAATCACTTTAATAAAGGTCATATATGGTTTGCGCAGGGTTATCGCACATATTTCAGCAATCCTTGGTCTATCATAGGTTTTCTTGCTGCGTTTATTGCACTTGCTCTCACTTTCGTTCAAGCATGGTTTTCCATTTTTCCACGCTAGCTAGCTAGCTCATAAATATGGTTTGATGTAGAATTGACTACTTGAAACTACTGTACTTCACTTCTCAAATGATTATGTTGAACTTGTTTTTAATTATTTCTTGAGTCTTCACTATGAGTATCTCATAAATGAAGAGTGCCTTTTGCTTTGTGTGCAACTTATTGTTTTTTAGAAGTGTGTGGTTGAATTGAAATATGTAATTTTCATGATTCAAGTTTCTTTGTTCAAATTATTGTTCACATAGATGATTTCAGTGTGTTTCTATATTGTTTTTTACTAAAAAAAAGTATTCATTGAAAAACACTTAAATTATCATAAATTTAAAATTGTTAAAAACTACAAAAAGTGAATATGCAAACAATTTTCCAACTCATAAGTTAATAGCATACAATGACAACATGTAATTATCTATAAATATGACAAAATAAAGTAATTAAAATATTCATACTTTTGGATCTGTAACATTGACACCGTACTAAGACAGAAAAAATCAACAAACGCCGCACAAAACAATAAAAATTTAAAAATACAAAAAACAAGAAACAAATCTATGTGGAAAACTACTTATTTAGAAAAAAGAGAGAAAAAAATAATAATGTTGATGGGTGATTGATCCGCTGTCGCGCACGGATAAAAAACAAGTAATTTTGAAAACTATAGTTTAGCGACGATGACTCGAGTATCGTATCGCAAGGATTCTTGAATATATTAACCTACAGAAGCGATTATGGGGGGTTGAGTTCGATTAAGTATTTAATTAACAGAAAATGATTATAAAATAAGTGATGGTAGAATAAGCTAATATGATCATTCAGTTCCTACCTATCATCGACTATTATAACTTCACTTCCCTAAGCGGATACTGTAACACCCCAATTCTACCCCAAGCAATTATCGGAAAATCAGAGTATAAAAATTTCCAATATAATCAGGATGTCACATATTCAACAAAAACACATAAACTTGTCATGCTTTTAGAATAGATATATAACACTTAAAGAAGCGGAATGAACACAACTCATGAATATAGTCTTCGTAACATAAACCAAACTTTGATTAATTATGCAGCGGATTCATAATAATTCTCTAAATAAGATATAACATCTTTTGAATCATGAAACAACATCAATACAATAAACTCCTCAAATAACAACATAAGGTCCAATAATTAAACAACAAAACAGACAAGCGTTCATTTTCCCCCGAGTGCTACGTATCAGAGTAAATGACAACGAACTCGAACTAACAATATTATCGGCTACTCATCTTGGTTACCCGCATGTTACCAACAAAGGGCAACATTCAAACAGAAGGGGTGAGATATAAAACTACATAAATAGGGTCATGATAAACAATATATTAGGTAAAGAATAAAAAGAATCACCACTTCATACAACAACAACATAAAGCAACGCAATTTACCAACACATCAATTCAACTTATAACATCTCCAAGCATACATAACACTTCAAATAAGCAACAAATCAACGACTCCAAATGTGACTAAACTATTCAAATGCATGTGGTACCATTGGAGCAGAACTCCCAACATAAATATTTTCCAGTAATTCTGAGGTACAAGGCATAAGCCTTCTTCATAATTCATTTTTGCCAATACAGGCCTTCACAAAATCTGCCAATTCATGCCTTCATAAGATGCAAATATATGAATGTACAACACAATAACATCATTAAACACTTCATGAGGCATACGCCTATATCACTACTTCACTAGCCATAAGCCTACAACGTCATCAACGTAATCAACCACTATTCATGGCAACAACATATTCATTATATATTCACTAGGATTCACACCATAAGACTATCCACAAAAATAATTCATAATCACATTATCAATATCGAATTCCACATATATTCAATTATATCTCGCAACACCAACACATTCATCAATCAACACAAAATAACACAACATTGGTCATAAGGCCTATAATCAACCATGTCCATAAACCGGACGGAATGACTTAACCTATTGTACCGGTAATTCGATATAATCGACATAATTTGAACAAAAGGAATATCCATAATTACCTACTAATTAACCTTAGTTACCCGGTCAAATTTCGTTAAATTCCGGACAACCAATTATACTGCCTAATTCGGCTATTGTTCAATGGTTTTACACAATAATTTAGTTGTTACTTAATCATTTCTTTGTTCAAATAATTGACGTTTTATTCCCTATCACCATATTTTATGTTTTTGGTTTGCATAAGAATCAAACAGGACGAATCGGGTCAGAAAAACTGCATAATTCTAAGTTCAGAAAAATTTGCTACAACAGCTGACACGGTCGTGTCAGGAGAAGAAAGGGGAAAAGCGTGAAGCACAGGGGCTGACACGGGTGGCAGCGTCAGCTGACACGACCGTGTCAGAAGGCCTGGAGCTAAAAACTAGTTTTTCCTCCCTTTTCACATATGCCTAGTTCTTGTTCATTCTTGTTTCAATTCACCCATCTATCCTAGTTTAGCATTAACCCAACACAGTTCAAATACAACAAACAACAACATAACTCAAATCAATTATCAATTTTAATAGCAACACAAACAATCTTTTTGCATAACATAGTATAGAAACTAATACCCTAAACCCAAATTAAAATTCATCATACTCCCATTTATTTAGCAAGAACCCCATCCTTACCTTGGATTGAGTGAAACTCTAAGAAATTTCAATGGAGTTTCTGGGGATTTGGCACTAGTAGAAACTTCCATCTTGTTCTTCTTCTCCTCTCAAAACCCTATTCCTCTTTCTATTCTCTTTCTTTCTTTTCCTGATACACTATCTTCTCTTTCTCCTCGATTTCTATCTCTAATACAATAATATTATATTACTTAATAAATCTAAATGGGCCTAAGAGACATACCCCCTTATTACTTCACAAAACCACAAACTAAGCCCAATATCATATTTAAGCTTAATAATAAAATGATACTTCAACTTAATTCCACCAAATTAAATATAATTATTTATCATGCCACTAGATAAAATAATTCTGACTTCGACGATAAAAATTTGAATTAACATAAAATATTCAAAATATTTAATTAAATCAATAATTAAATATCAGGGCGTTACAACTCTCCCCCACTTAGAATATTTTTGTCCTCGAAAATCTACTTGATACGACCACTCTTAATGCGAATTTCGTATCCAACTCTCTAATCTTCAATTCGCGTTTGGCAACACTTTGACCACTACTTTCTCGACATAACAACGCTCAACATTATATAACTCAAATCCACACGTGCTAATCATTCAACATGATTGTGACATAATCGTTAATAACTTACCAACCACTTCAACAATATCTTGACATATCAACATTTAAATTGGTAACACACTTATACTTGGATATACAACATCACATTAGCATCTTAACAACATTTCAACACCAAAAACACATGCACAATTTCATTCCCATATATACATATGTATGTCAATTATCAACACAATATCAATAAATCCATTCATATCGTTGTATCACCCTTATAGTGACATCAACATATCCAACATAATCAACTTCATCATATTATGGAGTACTATCCATCATATACAATAACTAACAACAACATCACAACAACGGAGACAAAATTATTATAACATCAACTTAAGAATATAAATAAATAAATATACACACAACTCATCACCCACTAACAACCACAATAAATTCCTTATAGGATCAAAAAATATCTCTGAGATATCACAACACCTTGGCACATCATCCCTACATCGACAATCTACCAAATCAAGCATGTAGAGTCGTACACTCATAGCAACTGCGCCACATACGCTTCAGCTGCACAACTCTGATAATCCATCATAAGTCACTGTGATACGGTGGGAGAAATGACTTGGGTGTTTTGCGTTTTATCGCATATTTTACAGTTAGCAAGAGTCGTCACCGACTTTTCTTTTATCCAAAAGGAAAGGTGAAAAATCAAAGGAAAGATCTTTGAGATTATTTCTTGAGTTCGGGGGGTAGATTATGAAAAGAGAAGGTATTAGCACCCTTTTCATCCATGGTTTTCCACGGGCTCTTAGTTACTTGCTAGATCACTTGCTTTTGTTTGAAAATGTGCTTTGTGTGGTTTTTGAAAGTATTTTCAAAAGGTGTCATCTTTAGGCAAACTTTGTAATGATTCTCGTTCGTAAGAATGTATACAAAGTGTTGATCTTTTTAAAATGTTTTCAAGTTTGAAAGATGTTTTTGAAAGTGTTGGTGTTTGTTTTAGAAATAGCAAGGACGTTTTTGGTTTTGACATTGAGCAAGTAACTAGGAACATTCTACCTACTCAAAAGTCTTTCATGTTCATTTCCTCTTTCCTTTGACATTGCTATCTTACCATTGATTTGGTAAGCAACCCTATCTTTGGATGTAAACGGGATGAGCGTGGATCATCGTATAACCATGATTAACAATGTTGCAAGGTATCTTAGCATCTTTCTCTAGGGACTAAGATCATTTTGAAATACAACTTTTGATAGCGTCATCGAGGGACTATGATCTTGTGTTTGTTTGCTTTTGCTAAGATACCTCACATGCGTAACATGACCATTTTGTAAGGCAACCAAGTGGATTTTACCCTAGGGGTGCTTGTGTGCAAGTGTATTGTTTCTCATGCTTGGTTTTATCTTGGATTAGGGTTTGTTAATTAATTGGTTTTAGTCTTTCCATACAAAACCCTAATTACTAGCATTTGTACATAAAGCGATAAATTGCGGAATTTAAAATTACTACGCTATTACAATACTTGTGGGAGGGGGTGTACAAATTACAAATGGGTATTACAAGAATTTAAATCTAAATAATCTATTACAACCATATTGAATTTGGATAAATAATATACAAAAATGAATAAATATACAAGAATGTAAAATGCAAAGAAAATGGATTTTTGTTTGGATTTTTTTAAGGAAAAATGGTTTTGTTTAATTAACTAAAATAAAATGATTAATTAAATTAGTAAAAGGTAAAC